ATGCCTCCAAGATACAAAGGAAATAGTAGAATAGCAAGCTGGTATGATTTCAAAAACAGTTTTGAGCTGCCAGACTTTGTCTCTCAGGAAAAGTTTCTAGGACATTTCTGGCTATGAAAATCTATACAACAAATCCTGAGACACCTTAGTTCTTGTGTAGACTTATTGCACATGGAAAAAAAAAAAAAATAAATAAAGCAGCTACATTTAATCAGGGGTCTTCAGGTTGCCTCCTTTAACTCCTGTCACAGAAAGTCATTTATGGAACTAACTGTGATTGGACTATAGGCAGGCTCCAGGGAAGTCTCTTGGGATGCCTTAATTGCTTGAGTTTGGCATGAATAAGGCACAACAATGACTTTTCTTGTTTCATCTCTCATCGTCATTACCTTTCACCTAGAGCTTAAGGCAGAAAGTGAAGCATGCAACTAAGGGATTTCACAGGATTCTTAAAAGTGAAATGAGGAAGACAGCTATTATTTTTTTTTAACACTTCCCAGTCTTAGCACATGTTGTGTGTTCTAAGGAACTTGATGGCATGCTCTTTATCTTTTAACTAATGCTTGTTATTTTTTAAAATTGTGCAGCTGATGAATGCCTGCCAGGAGACAATTTTTTTCTGCACAGTGGTAAGGAATATTATTCTTCTGTTGAAAAACAATCCTTTAATGTCTGCCAGCAGACTGTAAACCAGCTCTCAGCAATGCCTAGAGCAGAGTCTCTTCTTTTGGTTCTAAATTGTGACTGGAGGAGGAAATAGAGGCTCTATAGAGGACAGTTTGATGGTGGTGGTCGTGGTGGTGTAGTTTTTTTCTGGTTTGTATGTTTGGAGCTTATAGGGAGAGAGGGCTGGGGTTTTGAGATGTTTGGAGGTTTGTTTGTTTTGGTTGGTTGGCTTGGTTTTGTTTTTTCTGCATGTTATTCCAGAAACATGTTTATGAAATTAATGTATGCAGGGAAGTGAACTTTCAATCTCATGGTCGTAATAAATGTTTTTGACAGAATGTGGTCTCTTGCCACTTCCTGCATAAACAAAGACCATTAGACAGAAATGAAATATATGAAGCAGTAACAAACTTGTAATGCACAGTGGCATCTCTGGAAATTAGCAACTATAAATTTAAGTTCTGTGTTATACTGAGAGTATGAATTAGAGTTCAAGATAAGTATGGAAGTAAGATTTTTCAGTTAAGCCCCCAAGATCATAAATCATGGAGGCTCAAGCTATCCTTCATGTAAAGCGGTTCTGATTCAGAGGTAAGAAACGAGGACTAAGCAAAGAAGAATTTGAGAAGACTGTTAGGTCTTTGAAAAAGAGATTTCACAGAGAAATCATACGGCTTTGTTTGGGAGGAATATTGTTCCTTTTGTGTATGCATAGCATGGTTTGATGATCCCCTGGTGATCCTCATGGTGTGCCGCTGTCTGGTATTTTATTGATGGCCTGCTTCTGGTGGAATAGATCATGATCCTTCACTAAAGCAGGTAGATTGTGGAGTGCACAGCCTACCACCCCAATGTAGCAAACTTCAGTGATATATTCCTCTGTGCATGATATTTTGCTCTATTATTGCAGTGGGGATTTTTTCATGTAAGAAAGAAAGATCTCTCTCACTCCAGTGACAGTCGGACCCCTACCGTGTGATGTCTGTTCACGTCACATCCGAGGTGTCAGATTGTGATACTTTTTGGAGAGGTATCACTTACACAGAAATCAAAAGCTCTGGTGTGTGCCAGGGTCCTGTTGATTGACTTGAACCCCTTCCTTGGAACAGTTCGGTCCTGAGATATGAACACAGGATTTTGGAAGCCCACCACCTCGAATTTTACAATACTTCAAACAGATAAGGGATTAATTTTTTCAGTCTTTTCCCTGACAATTAGAAGATTTATCCTTGTCCCTTATGTGTGCTCCTTGGCCTGCTCTTTTGTTTGTGTCTTCATTTGTTTCACTTTGAAAAAAAGAAAAACAGCTTACTGGGCCCAGAACCTGCACATCTCCACAATTTGCTACTAGCCCTGTTCTTTCCTGCCCATGAGCTCTGAAAACCCTGCTACCTTTGGCTGTGTTTTTGCTGCTGGAACACCTATGGACAGTAACTCTTTTCTATCTTCCTCTCCCGTATGCAGGTTTGTCAAATGACTGCGACTCATGTCTTCCATGACTACAGCCAAACCTTTAATGGTGGTTTTCTCCCACTGGGATTGTTCAGATCTCTCTGCTATGTGGATTTGTAGTAAGTGTAGGTCTTTGGTGTAGAGAGTTGTATCAGGGCAGATGTACTGCAAAATCACATCCATAGCACTGTCTGCTGTCCACTCCCATTTTATTTCTCACTGCTGTTCCCTGCACATGTCCAGGTGTGCTCTGCTCACCACACAGGCAGCAGTGTAGCGCTGAGGAGTCAGAGCAAGCTGTCTTCTGACCTCTCAGCATCCTCACCACATGGGAGTTGCACACTTATGCTCGCATCAGAGAATAAAAAGCAATTTGTGCTTAACCTGAAATGAAATTCTCAGCACCATAGGTAGGGATTCTTGCAGAAGCTTCTGTCCATTTGGGCTGAGTGAGGCCAGTGAATCCTAAACACTTGATTGTTTTTGTCAGCACTGGAAGTGTTAGACTTCCACAATATTGTTGCTGTTTCATAACTGAGTAATATCCTGTAAAACTGGAGAAGACCTCACAGTGAGACAGTAGGGATGTCTTTTCTTCCCTTCTCCTCTTACTTAAAATCTCCATAAGACCCTCTAGGCTCTGCCATTTGGTGGGATTTTTTTTTCCCCAATTAAATTATTCCATTCCAAGATGGGTAATCATCATAATTAGAAGATTTGATAAGCAGAGGTTGTTCTAGATATTCACCAGCTGTGTCTCAGAAACAAAAGCACAAGATTCAGAAAGCACATGTCACTGCTTTCATCTAACTGCAGTCACAGGAGACCCTGAGCAAATGAACCCCAAAATCCAGTGAGAGAGCAGTTCTGCCATTACCCGCTTCTTTGACCTGAGAGAGGTAGAAAGCAAAGCCAGAGCAGAAAGATCAGAGGTGAAGGGGTGTTCACTGAGACTGGGACAAAGAGTGAATTCAAAAACCTGCAACTTGTGTCTCCTCTTGTGATGAACTGAGACACAGTAAAAAGTGCAAGCAAAAGGGTGCTTACATCTGAAATGCCTGAGACAGGAACCTGCTGATGACTGTATTGGCCCTCAGGGTCTGACATCCACACACAATTCCACGGTTGTTGTAAAGCAGATTTTACTTGGACCTCAGATGTGGAACTAGTGCCTGATGAAGCAGAGCATAATGTTTGTTATCCTTTTGTCCCCTCATGTGCCCATCATTCTGCAAAGTCCTGTCCTTCCTCACTCCAGAAGCAACCAACAGAGAGGGTAACCATGGACCTTTGTCAACCTCCCAGCTCTTTCTACAGGCTACAGCTCTGCTCACTTTCCAGCTTTTTGGCGACTCTCTGTTTCTGTAGCTGCAGTGATTAAATGCCTACTTGCAAGACATTTGCCCTGGCAAGTTCCACATCCTGTGACATTCATCAGTGGGATATCCAGACAAAGTTCCATTCACAGTAATCTTCTATTAGATGATGGCTTCCTGGCTTCCTATGTTCCAGACTCTCCCTGCCAATGCAAGACTAGATGTGATGACAGAAGTTTGTTGTTTTTTTTTTTTTTTATAGCAGCACATCTACAGCATTCAATGTGCTATAATTCACAATCTCCAGCTTCCTCTGGATGGTGTCCCTCCAGCACAGTTCACAGCCCAACAAAACAGCTGTTGTGGGTTTTTTTTTTGCTGTGTAGGTTTACATCTGCCTGGATTCAGAGGCTTGCAGATTATGTACATGTTCTTAGGTTTCAATTTATCCAGTTGTGCTAGACTAAGCAAATGTTTTCATTAATTTTTGTAAGTCATATCTCAGGCATAATAACCTTCCCATAATGGCCTTGTATCTATAGGAGTAGCATATCATTGTGAACCATGCAGATTAACCAGGGTTTACTGCCTGCATTGTTCTCTTCCTGTTTGGCAGAGAGCTGACAGGGTCTAAAGCTCAGTCTGAAAGAAGAAATTATCTGACTCTCCTGGAAAAGGCAATATGAAGTAGTCAGCATGGAAAAGGCAGTGATAACAGGCTCTGGCAGACAGAGAGAAGTTCTACTCGAGAATTCTTCACAGGTGGCATATACACAGACACAAGCAACATGTGTGGTTCCCTGGAGCTGTAAGAAATTTAAACTGTTGATTTGGGTCCATGCCACAATGGGAAGAAAGAACGAGTAAGACTCAGAGGTTTGCTTATGCAGAGAGTATCCTGTCCCTGGAATACCTTCACCTTAGGGGAAGTACTTTGACAGAGAGCTGCGGGATACAGTTTTGTCCATCTAACTGAACAGAGAATACTTCAATGACAAAAGCTGTACACAACTGTACTTCTCAGGAAAGACACATAACTTTTTTTAATGCTTTGTATACCCCTTGCTTATTTCCTGAGATGGCTTCAATTTCCTTCAGAAATGTACAGGTGAATTTTTGTGGCAGTCAAACCCTAGATGATCCATGACCCAACAGATATGTGATGCCTAGAGTGAGAAAAGTGATCCCTACACTAAAAAAAACCCAACATTGTAGGTAAGCATAGGCTCTAATGAGCCCTTGTAAATGACAGAAACAGGGTTGTACTATTCAACAAAATGGAAACACTGTGTAGCAACTAGATTCACTATGCTCGTGGTAATAAAGCTCAGTCAGTGAGAGGAGATGCTGATCAACCTGTGCTGACCTCTACCACTTTCATTTCCCATCCTACTTCTCAATTAATTTCAGGTGTCTCATATTTTTATACTTTTCTCTATCAACTGGGTCCTCATTAGGCCTGTTCTGTGTGATTTTTTCTGCTGGTAAAGGATACTAATGAGAGAAACTGCCATTTAATTTCAGTCTCTCATTATTTCATACGCCATATATTGATGGAGATTTTTTTCTTCTGTAGATCGAGGTGGATTGATTTCTCTAGAAAAATTCTCTAGATTGCCGGCTTTTGAACCCTGGAATTTGTGGGAACTTTATGCCATGATGCTGCAGAAAAGGTGAAATTCAATAAATTTTTTTCTATTTATTTTTTTGTTATTTTTCTATTATTTTTTCCTATTTATTTCTATTTATTATCTTTGCTTAGGAAGAAAAGTTACTATTCATGAGCGGGGTCTATTCAGAAAAAATTGTTAAGGTCTAGAGAAAGAAAGCTGTTTGTACAGGTTGTAAACAGAATTTCATATCCCTAAAGTTGCTTTTTATTGTTTTTTAGAGATCCCTATGTAAGTTTACTTTTTATTAATCTCTTTACAGCCCCACATCTGATCTGGCTGGGTACCTTTCCTTTGATTCAATTGTGTTTCCTCTTTCTTTTATGTGACTGGAAATTTAGAAAACACATGCATTTATCTGCGCTGACTCACACTCATTTCTTTATCTATCTTCCAAAGATGCAGTCAAAGATAAGGTCAAAATTACTTTTGTTGTTCTATTGAAAGCCTTAAGTGCCAGCCTGGTTTGAAAGATGTAGTCTTCAATTTTGTAAAAAACTCTTCCTTTTTTTAATTTTAAGCCTATTCCTTTCTCTGAAAAACTTTCTAAAGAACTGAGTTTTACTGTTTTGTGTGAATGTGCAACCTTTTCCTGAAGTCTGACAGCTGGGAACAATACCTAATGGGACTGTCTGTCAATTATGGCACCTTTCTGCTCAGCAAAGAAATAAAGAACAACCATTTATTTGAAACTGCATAGGAACAGATATGGGACTTTTTATGGTGAATTACTGTCAGTTATATTCCCTTTTAATTACTGTCATATCCTTTTGGTAAGTCGTTTTATCACTACAGGTTTTTTCTGCAGATTGGGAACTTTTGCTGATTTAATTCATTCTTCTGTTTTGTGTTTCTGTCCTATGTGATTTTACCTTGGACTAAATTTCTCTAAGAAAGTTCACTTGCATCAGAAGCAGAAGAATATTTATTATTAAAGCATTCTGAAACATGTTAGCTTCCTTTCCTTCATAGCGTGTTGCAAACACACGCTAACTTTGTGGAGTAATTTTTAACACATTGCCATGCCCATCTTCATTTATAACTTAGAAAAATGTTTCTAAGTTTATTGAATGTTAGAAGTGTTTGTTAATTGGCATTATGCATAATTTTGTTGGGTTTTTTTTTGTTTTGGGGTTTTTTGTGGGTTTTTTGTTTGTTTGTTTGTTTTTTGGTGGGCTTTTTTGTTTGGTTGGTTGGGTTTTTTTGTGTTAAGAATAATTAAGTCATTTAGTTCTGCTTAGTTTTGTATGTGACTGTAAATGAACCGAACTCATTACACAGTTTTCTAGTTCATGCCAACAATCCCTAAAAAGATGAGTGGCATTTCTGGATGTTAAAGAAAACAAAATCTTGAAAATAAAAAATAGAAGAATGTCACTTATTGCACTAAAATTATTCCTCACCTAAAGCATTTGAATTAGAAATGTGGCTATTCTGACCCATAATAAGGGACTTTCCCTACTGGCACCTGTCTTACCAATTATGTCTCAATAGTCACAGTATGGCTTGTGTCAGTAATAGCAGTCTCAGAAAAAAAATCCTCCTGAAAGAACTGTGGATGACTCATTGGCTTAAATATACTCTCTGACTCAACCAGTGGCACTGTGGTGATGTGCACAGACTAAGAAGTAGAGCATTTGCCCAGGAGTCTGTGGAAAGGTAAGAGTGATCTACCTCTGGTAGACTAATGGGAGAAAACTAGAAGACAAAAGAAGAAAACAGAACAAAGGAAAGGATAAAACTGAATCTCTCAGAAGTTTCTCATCTGAACTTCAGATCTGTTCTTCACATGCTGAAGTAGACATCTGAGATTCCAGACAGACTTCTGAAACCCCAGCAGGATTAAGGTATTTTTCTGGAATACCCTCAGCTTTGGATGATTAGCACAAAGCAGAAGGAGTGTGTTTCATCTCTCAGCCTGGCTCCGAGGGGCTCTCCCAGTGTGTATCCTGGTTTCTTTTTGTTTTTCTTCAGTGGTGGCCAGTTGTTCAGACACTGCTATGCATGTGCCTGGGAGGCTGAAGCCCTGAGTGACTAAAGCACCTCTAAATACACTCGTCCTAAAGAGGGCAATACAAGCCTGTATACTGCCCATAATATTTGGTACCATTTCATGTTGCTCAGTTCATTCTTCTCGAGAAACAACTCATGCCTAGGGAAGGAACAGATCTTTTTTTGTTGCATATGCTGGTCAGGCTTCATAGCTAGGCTGGAAGAATGATCCAGCTCTTCTCATGGATGCCGTAAGCTGGCACTTGATCTTTTAAAACAGACATTATGGCAAAGCTTTACATTTCCCCATCCATTTGGAGCAGACAGTGCTTATCATTTGATTTTTCTTTTTTTGAGCGTTCCTGCTGTGAGAGGATTTAATAAGCCATATACTTGAATTTGTCCTAGAAAAGATGGGTTTGGAGCTGCCCTTTCATTTTCAGACACTGACAGTTCTCATCTGGAAAATATTTTTATATTTCTTGATATATTCTTTTGTACTCATACAGTAGTCACTGCCAATTATGCTCTTCTCAGCTATTATTTTGGGACGTGTTTATTCATGGCTTTAAAACTCAGCTGGATGCATGGCTAAGCTGAAATATACAATCCTATGTCCTTCTCCATGAGATCACAAGACTGGCTTATGGTTTGCAACTTTTGCAGACATCGACCTAGTTTTATTTGCCTTATGGCTTTAGAGCTCTTGAATATTGTTGAGTCATGTTATCTGGCTCTGTGCTATGATCCTGACGGATGGATAATATTTTAATTTGTGTAAAATTGGATTTTTTAATGTATTAATAGAAGTTCAGCACCATTAAGAGGGAAAAAAGATCAACTCTTACAGAGCTGTCAGCAGTTGCCGACATCACTTCTAAGGTTCTCAGAGATGTCACTGAGTCTGAGAATTTGTCTAATAAATCTGGTCCTAAAAGATCAAAAAGTAAAAGCTTGGGTTAAAAAGAAAGAAAGAAAGAAAGGGGGGGTAGTGTAGTATTTTAGAAGTTGTCAGCTCTCTTGTTTGAAGTGAGAGACAGCAGATGGGCATTTCTAGAAGTCTGTGTGTCATTTATGACTGTGTGTCTGTTCCAGTACTGGGTTCCTTTAAGTAAACTGATAAAGTACCTGATCCTGTATACACAATTTCTCTAACAATAGGAAACCTACCTAAAAGCAGACCCACATATTTGCTACAGATCTGAAAGGAACAATATAGAAAGGGGCAAGACAGGGACCTGTCTCTCTCCTGCCTGCGGATCACTTCTTGCTAGTTAGCAATATTTCCCTTGGTCCAGGTTCAGGTTTGAGCTCCTGGATACCTTCTCACTCACTTCTGTCTACCCAAGCCTGACAATTCACAGGTCTCTGTAAGGTGCTTTTCATGCCCAAGAAGCATGCCATTTGTAACTAAAAAATTACATAGGATATGTTGCATAGAATGGAATAAGATCTGTTTGGTGCAAACTACATTACAAGAGAAGGGGAAAGATCACAGGTCTGTGAGGTCTTTGGGAATAACATAAACATAACATAAACTTCTACTATTATGGAAAATAGTGAATACACTGCACCATGGAAAAAAGAAAGCTGAGAAGGTATATGAGATGGTTCTGTAAATTCTTATGTGGTCTGGCAAAGGTGAATGGAGTTTGACTATTCACTGTCCTGTCCCTTCAAAGCAAAGTCACAGAACAACACATGAATCAGAAGGAAGGATTTCAAAACAGAAGGATTTCTTTTATTCTTTATGCAGTTTATCATTATTCATTCTAACTCCTTGCTGCAGGATACTGTGACTGTTAAAAGTCCACATAGATTCAGAAGGCAACCTGACAAATTCCTAAGAAAGAAATAAATTGGGGCCTCTTAAATATGAAAAGATCTCCCTTGGCTGGGGTAGTCCTTGAACTGCAAATTGCTTGTGATTAGGAAAGTATTGCTCCATGCTTACCCTGTTCTGCTCTCTCCAATGCATTTGCTCTTGTCTAGTTTTACAGTCTAGCAAGCATAATTGATCCTTTTAGTTAGACAGAAAATGGCCATTTTTGGGTTAAAAGAAGATATAGTGGGGACAGTGTTGGATAAGTCAACCCTTAAGATTTCCACAATGTTGCAGCTCTCCTCAAATTTCAGAAGCTGGGTATTATTTGTGGTAGAGAAATAAGATGCTCTCTCTTACCATGTTGCTGATTGCAACAATGTGATCATTGTTTCCTTAACAAGCACAAAACAATTTTCTCATCCCCTCTTCAAAATATATTCAGGCAGGGGATGATATCCCCCTTATCCTGCTACCTGAACACCTTCCAGTTGTGCGCTGACATAACTGAGGACAAGAAGGCTGCTGGGAGAAGGGCTCTTTTGCCTTTCTTTTGGACAAGTTCTGTAATAGAGACATTTGAAGCTTTTTCCCATGCTTGTAGGACTCCTTTAAAGGATAGGTTGCTTTTGCTTGTTTTTTCTTGGTTAATTAGTGTGCCTTTAAGTCTCTGTTATATGAAACTTAGTTCTTCTCCTTATCATGTCTCTTGATGTTTCTGTTTTAAAATTCCAATTGTTCCGCTGCTATCTCCAGGGATTGAGACTTGTATTTACCTTTTAATTTCTAAAAAAATCAGGATTTTTATTCTAGCATTTTAAATACAAAAAGAAATGTGAGTACTCTGTCCCATAATTTAAGACTCTCCCCTACTCTCACCTGTCTTACCAATTATGTCTCAATATATTATATTAACGTATAGTGTTCTTGCTTATGTCAGTAACTGCAAACTTAGAAAAAAATCTTTCAACCACCATCTTATTTTCCAGCGTGAAAGGGTTCTTTGCTCTTAAAACAGCATTTGTCAGCCCTCTTAATGATAGTGGGTAGGATATGCAGTGCACTTTTTGGTGAGTAACACACCAGTGAGGCACCTGAGGTAAGTCTGTCTGAATTTCAGCCTTTTTGCCACAGGAGCTTTAAGGGTGCATTATCACTTCATGAGCAAAAGGTTTGTCTTATGCCCTTT